TCCCCCCATTTATAAGTTACCATGAGCGGGATGTGCCAGTCGGAAGTAGCTTTACACCAAAACGCTCCGTCGATTTCATTCAACAGTACCGATATCACTGTTGGCATCCGAATCAACGGTGTTTGAGTGGACCTCCATAACTGTCACCACAGCTGAGCAGCCAAATCCATGGTTTGATTGCGGGATATTAACTGCATGGAAAATACCTTTCAACCTGTGACCCAGATATCATGGTCTCGGAAACAACCCTCTTGGGGGGAACATTCTTTCCTACAACCTAAGTGCATTCAGGACGGGACTTTTTCATTCTCTTTTAGAGGAAGACAAGTTTAGCCAGTTACAATTAACAGGTAATGCCGAATGGTGTAGAAACTGAGGTGGATAACGTCTCCGAACAACCGTCCAAAGTCGACTCATGAAACGAATGGCTTAGAAAATAAGTCTGAAACTTATCGAGATTATTCGAGATGTAGTAGTGAGCGGTTTAAGCAGAGAAACGCGTAGCGCTTTAAAAACAGAGTTCGTGTTTCGCAACTGGCAACCTACTCTTAACAATCAATCTAAGCTACTGAAGAAGAGTCTAGGCATCAAAAGTTCGGCCTGTCGCTTCTGCCGGAAGCCCGAGTTTGTGACCTGTCGTAAAATGGGTTGAGTGACCCGAGTTTCACAATTAAAGTGCTCATTGATTTAGAGATAGGGTATTCAGAAGCAATAAATTCGTCGAGTTTTGACCAGTGCGGGTGATTGGCCATTATCCCAGAATATGTGAACACAGTTAGAGGAATCTTGATAATACCACATGTTCTCAACAAGTAAAGTGATCTAGTCACGCGACTGAATTTCAAATGAACTGTTAATGGAGCGTAAATCCGAATACACTGCTAGTCACGCGACTTGCGCATGACAAACCTATGGCGGTATATGCACACAAAAAATTGCGAGAATGTCGGAATTGTTGAGCACTCCGAATCAACAGTGTAATGGAAAGGGAACTGACTTTCAACAGGAGGCTGTTCATACCAGCTTGGTGAGAATCAATCTCACCCTGTCCGGAAAAGAAACCATTGGCTCGTCATAAAATCTGAACAGCCAAACAGGTCAGCAGATTCCGAGTGAACAGTCGTCTTTGCGCCGTGCGGTTATCCAGCTCAATCATGATCAGTGCTTGAACCCTAACCTCATGCTTGCGGATGAGTCGATTGAGGTAGTAGACAAGTTTGTCTACCTGGACAGATGTATCAGTCCCGTTGGTCCCACAGAAGGTAACATTTCCATCCGGATTGGGAAGACCAGAACAGCTTTCATGAACTTATGTCACCCGTAATGTAGGCGTGACATAAGCGTATCTGTCAAGGGTTGAGTTTACAATGGCTCCATATGCCGGTCAGAAACACGGCCCCTGCGTGCCGAGGACGTCAAGACTTCCAGTGTCTGAGCGTTCATGTCCTCCGAGTATTGTCCGAATCTGGTTGGAATACCGGGTAAGCAATTCTAAAGTACATTAAATAGCATGCGGAGGAAATAAATCATCCACCATAGGTGAACTGATCGGGCTGCATAGATTGCGCTGGCTTGGCCACGTGCTGCGTATGCCAGTCGACCGACTTCCTCGAAGGGCTCATTTCGCACAACCACACGAAGGGGAAGACGAGCCAGGGGGAGTCAAACAATGGCTTGGATATAAAGTATGCTATCTATTACCAGCAAACTCAGCTGTGCTGGTTATCGCCAGCTTCCTGGGCCGGGGGCCCCGAGAAGGGACACATTAATAGGTAGACATTGTTAGACACAGCCCAATCGCGCACTCAATGGCGCTAGTGCCTTCAGAGCATAGTTCCCTTCCCGATCCCCCAACTGTCAGTCATGTAGTTACGCACCAATTTATCAGCTTAAGCCTCCAATGAGTGGCTACCTACCCGATCTCCCCAAATCATTGGGGGACGAAACTGTGGCAGCTATAGTCGCTGTACGATAAATACGCGGTTATTACAGCTGATTATGATGAAATTTGTGCTCCAACTACTGGGCCATCTCGTCCACTGGGATACCCTTACATCAATATGACTCATATTTAAAAACTATGTAAACTGACTATCAGAATTTGTTACTGGCGTCAGCAGTAGTATCCCAAGAACCTCAACACTGGTTTTCGAAGTTTCGACGTACTGGATTATCAGGCGGGACCAACGTACTGCACAGTAAGCGCCACCGTCACGAAGAGACTGGACCTTACCGTGGTGTGACGGTTTGCGCACCTCAGCGATCCATTGAGCTATACTGGAGAGTGTCCCGCGACACTCACAGTCTCTCACACCAGGTTGGTCAATGGTTAGAGGTCTGACGAACACAGTCTCCTGGCCCTCCAGGTTGGGGGTTGGAACATGTGGCGACTTGTTCCGTAGAAATGGTAATGCATTTGAATTTCCCGCCAAACACCGCTGCCTTGCGGTTAGGCTTTTGAGCCAAAGGCTTTGGTTGAGGACCCTAATAGTCCTCCTGTCTAGGTGTGGGCGCCCTGGCAGTATCCCAGCCCACGTACAACCATG